GGCTCACTTTCTAAAGAGAACATCATGCATGAATTAAGAGCAGAGGCTTGTGAGCCAGGAGATCCAGCTCAGTGCTTGCTTAGCATGCAAGAGGTCCTGAGTTCAATACCACCCCCATCCTGGAAAAAAAAAAAAAAAAAAAAAAAACAAAAGACGAGGTTTTGAGGGTCAGAGAGATCCTGACACCACCTTAGGCTCTATAGCTGTGACCTTGACTTAGCTATTTGACTTCTCTCATGGAACCCGGCAATCAAAGCTGTGACTCTATGAGGACTACATGCAATGTGAGAAAGAGCTTACCGCAGCCCCTGTCATAACCCAAGTAAGACGTGATGAGGTGCTGGAGAGATGATTCAGTAGTTAAGAGCACTTGCTGCTCTTCCAGAGGACCTGAGTTTGGTTCCCATCATGCTCTGGTGGTTCGCAAACACTTGTAAGTCCAGCTCCAAGGGATCTGATATCCTCTTCTGGCTTTTACAGGCACTGTCCCCCCCCCCCAACATACACACACGGCATGTGAATGCACACACGAAATGATGAGAATAGCATTACCAGCTCCTGCAGACAGTCTGCCAGGGACCATTTGGTAGAGTGAGCATGGATGAATCACCTATGGGCCATTAACCAGAGCATCAGCCTGAGAAGTGGTTATTCTCATTTTTCAGTTCGGGAAACGAGCCCCCCCCCGGGGGTGCTGCCCAGGCTCACCCACCTAGAAGGGGTCTTCCCAGCCACGACTGATCAGTAAGCAGTTAATGTTCAAGGGAAAGAGATGAGGGACAGCAGGGAGGACTTAAGTCACAAGGACTGCTGCCTCTAGGTGAGATTTTAGACATATTATAACCTAGGTATTAAGGACACCATATGAAAACTTCCCGCGGAGGTTTAATTATAGATGACTCCAGTCTCTATTTTTACTAACAAACCTCTGGGCATTCGGCTGAGAACAGGATCAATGAGGATTGAGGATATTGGGGTTGGGACTGTTCCTACTTTAATCACTGCTTCCTGTAGCAGGCACTCCATGAGGAGGGTGTGTGGGTGTCTCTGGAGCTCACGATCTCTTTGGGGGAATGTAATTTCACAAGGCTGTGGCTCCTTGGTGACAATCTTCAGTGTAGGGGTAGAGAGGGTAGGAATGGACTGGACATTAAGTGGGCAGGAAAGATGTCATGTTTGAGATGTAATGTGTGTGTGTGTTGCGTGTAAGTGTTCCTGTGTGGGTGTATGTACGTACATGTGTATGAGGTCAAGGTTGATATCACTTAATTACACTTTACCTTCCTTTCTGAGGCTGAGTCTCACTGAGCCTGAAGCTCTCTGGTTCAGTTCACACCAGTGATATTCTATCAGACTCCCCAGTACTGAGATAGCAGGCATGGGTTTTTCCATGAGTTCTGAGGGATTGAACGCAGATCCCCGACTTGCATGGCAAGCACTTTCCTGCCTCTTCCCGGCTCTCAGATGTGAGTTTTGACCATGGTGACGATACCTTCTCTTTACAGCTACACTGCAGTGGTCAACTTTGACTCCAGAAAGAACTTGAAGCTTGCGGAGAGGCAGTAATACCCCAAATTGGGCATTGTGGAGAGGAAGGAGAGTTCCTCAAATTCCCCAAGTGAACTCCCATCCACACAGCAAGAGCCAAGTCTATCAGCTCAGAACATAGTTTTAGTCCAAGCAACAGGGACAGGACACACTGGGGCAGTGTTTGGGGCTGGGGGATGAATATGGGGGCTTCTCTAACTGTTGCAGGAGGAAGAAGTTTCTACTCCTGGAGGGGAAGAGAACGCGATTCAGAGAGGGCAAGTGGGAGGGGAGAGCTGAGTGAGCTCTCTGAGGGCCCCCAGTCCTGAGGCTGGGACCCATGAGAAGGCCGTGGTTTGCATCACCTCTTTGAGGAGTTGGGGGACATGGGTATGGTAACTAAGCAGTCTTATTTCCTCAAGAACCAGCTCGTGGTGACTGAGGGGCTTGGACAAGGGCGCCTCCCAGACTCAGCCCTTCCCAGCTAGAGAGCAGGTGGGGAGCCTTTTCAGTCTCACATTCCACCTGGTTTTCCTGTTGAGAGGGACCTCCACCCAGAAGGATACACTAGAGGTGTATTGGTCCTTCCCCTCCCTAACACCAAATTCTCACCTGTGCCAAGATCAAATTGGTATGAGGACAGCTTTGGTGCCAAAATATGAAGTCTTATAGATTGTTCTGGTTTGTTTGGGATCCAGGCACAACTATGTCTCTGCGCCTCCTGTATACCTCCCTAGACTTCTCCTGTGGTCTTGGGCTTGGGAGGGGTGGTTCTGAGCAGCTTTAGGTCCTTCATCATTAGACCCTTCACCTATGATGCGGCTGGCAAGGAAGATGGCTCGGTATGGCGGCACTCACCATGAACTAGGTGAACTGCTCATTGGGTCTTTGCAATAACTTTACAAATTCTGTTACTATCCCTGCCTTGTAGAAGAGGAACCTGAGGCACAGGTAGTAATTTGGCAGGGGCAGTGAGGCCTAAATGCAGAGTCCAGGTCAATTCCAGACAGCAAGACTCTGGGCCTTCATTCCCACACCACCTGATTTTGCTTGATCCTGGGGCCTCCCTTTGGACCCATATGTCTCACAGATAAGGGGGTCAAAATCGATTCTGCCCTAGGGTCAGGAAAATGCCGCAGTGATCCCTCAAACCCTTCCTGTACACAGAGTCCAGACCAGCCAGACACCTTTATGGTTTTAAAATGAAAACTGGTGTTGTGGCATGCATTCTCAACCCCAGTGCTGGGGAGGTTGGGATAGACAGATCTCTGGGGCTCATCCACCAGCTAGCTCAGTCAGCTTGCAAGTCCCAGATCAGGAAGGGCCAGTCTCAGCAGGATCACACTGATGAACAACACCTGAAGCAAGTCTAATGTTTCACACTTATCTACACATACATATAAGCACCCACACATCCAACCACACCCACTCACACACACACTTGAGCGCCCACACACAAATTGTCGCCCTCTAGTTCTTGAGTTCCTAGAAATATAAACGATGTCATTTTAAGTCCCACTCACTCTATGCTTTGGGGGGGGGTGTCCAGTTCCTCATCCAGGAAGCTCCCCTGACTTACCTAGTGGACGTTGAATCTTTCCTGTCTGAACACATGCACATAGACCCTAGTTCCTCTGCTCTGTCCACTCCCTACACCTCTGCTTAGCCTTCTTAGCCCTTGCTTTACCCTGAGCCACAGCAGGGCCCAATTGGCAAGGGCATGTGAGCCCTACTTTCTTCTTGCAAGCAGATCCCCTCCTAGCACTGACAAATATGTCTAATGAATCCTGTGTTTCAAAACCCCAAACTGACCAGACACAACGCACAAGTGGTTTTCTCCATATAAAGGGAGCAATGGGTCACAGATTCTGTCCTGAGAGGTCCTTTAACACCCCCCTCTCTCACTGCTCCGCCCCCTTCAGTGGCACTAGAGCCCTACTGAGCACCCAGCCTCAACCCAATCAGACGGCTTTGACAACTCAGAATTCTGCCTCTGTTGTCCCCCACGAGAAAAACTTCTGAGAGCTCACAAAGTCCTGAGGAGTTAGATTCCAAACTCTCCCTCTTGGCTTTGGGGTGTTTGTACTGTCCCCATTTTCTGGGGACACCTGTCTGGAGCCACCCAGGAGCATGCCTGTCCTTCCTGTGGCTGGATCGCTAGTGACTGGAGACCAGTTTCTCTCCTATCTTAAGGGCACCCCCAGCGGGCTTCTATCCCTGGCGCTTTCTAGAAGCCGCTGCTCTGGCAGCAACGCTTCCCCTGCCCCTCCCCCCAACCCCAAACCATACAGGAATGTTTGTTTCCAACTGTGTCCCTGGGATCAGAACGAAATGCAGCTCGTTTCAAGAGGCTTTTCATCTGCAGGCGCTCCCAGAAGCAACAAAGCAGAGGAGGGCACACTTGTGTTCCCAGAGTGGGAAAAGCGACCACAGCTTGGAGAAAGCCACCAGACTCTACTTGCACTCTTCCAGGGCACCAGTTGTCACCACCTCTGTCCTCTCCTACTGCTCTCTTTTAGGAACAGCGCCACTCAGAAAGAGCGTCAAGGCTGGCCGCTTGTACCCAGCCCATTGGTTCCTTAGGCTCTGGCTCTGGCTGGGGCATTCTGCCACACTGTGAAGGGGCCAAGAAAACTTTCGCTAGCCGCAGCAAAGAGAGCTGCGCTGGGTACTGGCAGTGTGGAGGCCCAAGCCGGGGTAACCCAGGCTTAGATCTCAAAGGCTTGCCTTTCTTCCCTTCCCGCGGGTGCCGAAGTTCCCGCTGCTTGGAGCTCATTAAGCGGTGGCTGGTGTTTCAGTGACAGCGGCTTCCCCCCAATTACTGAATAATTGCATAATTCCGAGCGCAAGCCGAGGACGCTGCTCTGTCCCTAAGCTAGTGTCAAGTATCTTTCCTACCGGTCCTGGACTGAGGGATTGTGACCGCTGCCTGTGGTCGGGCTGAAGAGGGCTTGCCAGCGCCTAGCTGCTGAACTGGAGGGATTTGGGATCTCTTAGAGCTCCTAGTTCTCTGGGGGCCACCACGTCTGGCTCTCCAGACTTCGGGATGCTCAGCCTCGGGTGGCAGGAGTGCAGTCAGGTCATGCTCGCTGGGCGAGATCTGTCTGCCCCCTGCTCCAGCTGGGGCCTTGGACCCTCGGCAATAGAGGGATGCCCTAGTGACTCGGTGGACACGTGAGAACTTGTTCCCACAGCTGCACGGGGGCACCCAAGGTGCTCAGTGGTTCCAACAACTCAAGTCCTTTCTTCTCTTCATAAGCACACCACAGTCCTAGAGAAAATTTCCTCGGCACGCCTCCCTCTTTTGCTGTCTTGGCGGCACAGTTTGACTGCAGCCGGTTCCCGGGCAGACCTGTGTCCCCAAGTAGTGCCAAGGGAGGCGCGTCTCATCTCTCTCCTCACAGTTGGAGCTGAGGTCCAGGAGGACTAGGGAGGGGCTCCCGGAAGAAAAGGGAGACAAGGGGGCCACGTACCTGGCCAGAGGCTGAGGGTCCAGGCCACCAGGAGGCCCCTAGGCAGGTCCATGGCCCGCGACGCGGTGGCAGGATGGTCGTAGGGCTGCGAGCCAGAGCGACAGCCACAGTCTATGCGTGGCGTCCCGAGCCTGCACTGCTCCAGGCTCCCGCTCCCTGACAGAGGCGCAGAGGAAGTGGGAGGGCTCCAGTGGCGGGGAGGGGCTCAGACACGCGGCGGCCCTGGCTCTAGGCCAATATTGGCCCCTCTGCCACCTGGGCTGCTGGCCCCGTGCCCTCTCCATGTCGTCCCCACCCACCCCATCTATGCTCCCGGTCATAATAAATGATGGCTCCCGGGAGTCAGCTACCTCGCCAGTGCAGCACCTGCCTGTTCTCCATCCCCAACCAAATCAGGGTCTGTCCAGAAAAAGCGAGTTGTGGTGTCTATTTTCTAGGGGGAAAGAACTGCATAAAGACCATAGGGGAACCTAAGATGACCTGGGGCCACTCTGCAGCGGTTCTCTTTTGCACAAGTTGGATGGATTCTCCTTCCTCAAACCATTTTGACACACTCCTTCATCTCTCTGTTTCCTGGGGCTTAAATTGTCAAGGCCATAGTGCTTCTTGGTCCCCTGGAACAAAGGCAGACTAACTCCAACTTCCACTGTTCCAGCCGCCACACCTGAAAAATTCCGAAGCGGCCAGGAGGACCAGGGACCACGTTTGATGGTTCAGGAAGCATCTCTTTGGGACCCAGACACTACTCCCTAGCCATAATAATCATGGACAGCTAACTTCAATGCACATTTATTGCCCGAGCTTTTAATTAGGCTTTGAGCCACAGTCTGCAGATGTGAAGGCTGGCCTTCCCAGCAGCGTCGGAGCAGAGGACACCAGCAGGGTAGCCAGCGTGTGGGGAAGCGAGGGTGTGGGGAACCTTCCCACGGCTGCAGATGGATCTGCAGACACATGCTCTTTCTCCAGCTCTCTTCAGTGTGTTTCACAGAGAAACTAAATGGCAATTGATGTACTTGTTTGCTCTCTCTCTCTCTCTCTTTCTCTCTCATCTCCTCAGTTTCTCCTAAGGACACGTAACCAACCCCTAACCCCAACCCTCACCCCCACCTCCACACCCCTTCTTCAGGAGCAGAAGAGCTTAGTGAATGGATGGACAGATGGGTGAGTACGAAGGGTGAGGAGCACAGAGGGAAGGTGTCAGGGAGAGATGAGAAGGACTTTCCAGAGTGGACATTTGGGGAGAATCCTTGAGGATAAGGTGGGTGTTGAGAAGGTCCACCATTTACAAAGACTAAGCAAAGGTGATTTTAATTTTAGGGGGGAAGAGAGAGAGAGAGAGAGAGAGAGAGAGAGAGAGAGAGAGAGAGAGAGAGAGAAGAGAGAGAAGAGAGAAGAGAGGGGAAGAGGAGGGAGGAGGTTCTCAGGTCTTAGGACTCAATCAGTTTTCTCAACCTCAGCGCCAAATTTCAGAAAAGGATGGTGTGATAAAGGGACAGGCTCTCTTACTGTTCTAAAAGAGACCGTAGATCAAAAGAACCGACTTCTATGTCCTCTGCCAGGATAGGAGAGGGGCTGGGGCAGGCCTGGGCTGGAGGAAGCAGGCTTAGCCTTGGGATGAGGCTGACACTGGATGGCCTGACAGGGAAATGTTGGGTGCTTGCTGGTAACAGTTCAATCTTTGTAGCGTCTGGCTTAATGTTTAGGCAGTCATTATTAAATGTTATTTAACAATCTTTTCAGTTTGCTTTGTGGTACTGGAACTGAACCCCGGGTCTCAAGCCTGCTAAACAAGTGGTCTGCCACAGAGCAACACCCCCAACCCTTCACAAGGAAACTTTATTTTTGTATATGTGTGTGCACATTGTGTGTGTGTGTGTGTGTGTGTGCGCACACACACATGTGCAGGCCAGAAGGTAACTTTGGGGATCTTCCTTGATCTATGTCCACTTTTACTTTTATTATTTAAGAAAGTATGTGTGTGTGCACATGACATGCGTATGGGTATGTGAGTGCAAGTGCCCTTGGAGACCAGAGGCATTGGAGCCCCTGAAGCTGGATATAGGCGGTTGTGAGTCACCTGCCATGGAAGCTGGGAACTGAACTCAGATCCTCTGGAAGCACAGTAGGCACTCTTAACTGCTGAGTCATCTCTCCAGCCCCTCTCCACTAGATTTTTTTGAGATAGGCTCTTTCATTAGGTCTGAACCTCACCGATTAGGCTAGATTGGCTGACTAGTCGGCTCCTAGGTCTTCCTGTCTCTGCCTTTCAGGTGCCTGTGGTCACAGCTGTGCTCTGCCATCCCAGCTTTTATATTCGTGTGGGAGATCTAAGCCCTCATGCTTATGTGGCAGACACTACACACCAAGCCACCTCTCCAGCCCCTTAAGTGTTATTTATGACACACGGACCGCAGCAGATGCATAGGAAATTTATGATGTGGATCCCAAGGCTACGAGGAGCTCAGAGAACTGGATGAAGGGCATTATGGGAGCTGGGCTTTGAGCTGATTGACAGCGCCGTGTCGCACCATGGCATCTCCCAACTCTTTACAAGGCTAGCGCTCATAGTCGCCTGTAGTTTTAGTGGAACACATGTCATGAAATCCACCATATAGTTCAACTATATTTGAATAGTCGCAGGATTGTGTCACCGTGACCACTAATTTCACAACGCTGTCATCATCCCCCAAAGAAACCCTGCACCCATGAGCCACTAGTTCCCTCACTCAGCCCCTGGCAACCACTAACCTTTCTATCTCTGTGGATCTGCATGTTCTGGACATTTCATGGAAACGGACTCATCCAGAATGAGGCCTCTGTGTCTGGCTTCTCCCATTTCGTGATGTCTCTAACATTCACGCATGGAATAGTGGTGTCCCCATTTCGTTTCTCTTTGTCATAAACGGCATTCCAATCGGATGGCAGCGCCACAGTGTTTATCCATTCTGCAGGTGATGCTCTTTGGGGTGTTTCCACTTTGGGTTACAGTGAGTAATGCTGCTTGTACAGACATCTGGTACAAGTTCTCATCGGAACATACATCTCGACTTCCCTGGGTAGCATACAGCCACGCGTGGTGTGACGGTGTGACAATGGTCCAGGCTTAGATGGTCCCATGAAGCCTGGCCATCTGGGTCTGTGTAAGGATGCTCCCTGTGATACTGGTGTAGAAATGCCAAGGCCCAGCAGTGCACTTCTGCCATAGTGGCCCTGTCTTTAAGGGATGTGTGGCTGTGTTTAGGAGCAGTGCGGCTGAGCCACAGAGTAATTTTATATTTGAACCCTTGAGGAACTCCCAAACTATTTCCACAGTCTCTGTGCCATTTTGTGTCCTCACCTAGGACTGCAGTAAGCAGTGTTGTTCTCTTTTGAAATCCACCTAATGACAGTGACCTCATTTCACCCTTCCAGTAGCCCTACAAGGGAGTACGTCCATTTTTTTTTTTGTACATAAAAACGTTACATAGGTGAAGAGTCTTCTAGTTGCAAGGGCTAGAAACTCAATACCCACTGAAAGAAGCAGAGAAGCAATGTAAAAATCCTCGTGCAAGAAAGTAAAACACAGGGCTAGCTGCAGGCAGTGGGCTAGCTGCATGCAGTGGACTAGCTGCAGGCAGTGGGCTAGCTTCAGGCAGTGAGCTAGCTGCAGGCAGTGGGCTAGCTGCAGGCACAGAGTTAGCTTCTGGCACTGGGCTAGCTGCAGGCTTGGCAGGATCAAGAGACTCAAACAAATGACCCACTTTTCTTCTCTTAGCTTTGTTTCATTCTGGTCTCTATTTCCACAGGGACGTTTTCTCCACCTTTCTGAAAAGATGGCCGGCAGGCCACTTTCCCAAGCTTTGTCTTCGTTGATTCTAAAGGGACAGAAGCAGTTTTCCCTCCTAGCTCCATCAGAGAAGCCCAGTGTTTGGGGTCACACCCTCCACTGAAGAAATCATAGTGTCTGGAGGACATGATATTATAGCTAGCTCAGTCTGGAAAACACACCCATCCCTGGGGACTTGGGAGGAGATGGCACAGTGATTGACGGCTCTCCCAAGACCACATATTATAGGACAGGAATTCTCTAAGGAACCAGGAAAAGGAGTGCTAAGGCCTGCTGGACACACAGCCCATAATTGCCAATGCCACTACAAAGATTTCTGCTCCAAACAAGAGTAGGGGAGTCACTCAAGTCCCCACAGCACAGGCAGATTGTGAAGAGAGCTCAGGGGTGCTGTCAGCAGATTCAGAACTGGTCACATCTCCTCCAGGAGGAGGAGGTAGGCCTTCCACACCAGGACTGCAGGAACCTGGGCAGCCTGGAGAGAGGTCCCATGGGTGGCTTCTCTAAGAAAGAACTTGTAGTGGGCAGGGACCTATAGTGGGGGCTTGGGTTCTCTAGGACTGTTAAACTTTTCTTCCAGTGAAGTATTTGGGGTAGCCTGGTTTGCCTCTGCTTTGGTGAGGTGTTTCTTTCTGCCCTTTCTCTGTCTTGTTGCCTCTGAGACTGTGATCAATTGTCCGGGTTTGCTTTGAACCGAGGGATTTCCCAGGTTGCTGCATCTTCAGAGTCAAGATTGGGAAGATGACAGAGCGTGATGGTGCAACCCTGCATTCTCAGCGCTTGGAAGCCGGGGGCAAGGGCAAGGGAGTTGCAAGTTTGAAGTCACCCTGAGATGTCCAGTGAGACCCTGTTATCTGTCTGTCTGTCTATCTATCTATCTATCTATCTATCTATCTATCTATCTATCTACCTACCTACCTACCTACCTACCTACCTATATATATTTGGGTTTGAGAGACAGTTTCTTAGTGTTGCTCTGGCTGTCCTGGAATTTGCTCTGCTGGGATTAGAGGTGTACACTACCACTGCTCTGCCTGAGACCCTGTTATAACACACATACACACACACACACACACACACACACACACACACACACTCCATCGCTCATCTATTTCTCCTTCTCCAGAACCTTCTCTGGCTCTTCTCCAAGCCTCTGTTTCAGACTCTCCTGGTTACTTCTCTCCAGCTCCAGGGCCCCCAGTGCAGCCAGTCTCCATATAGACTGGGAGACTCTTTGGAAACACTCCCTGGCTTCTAAGCCACTTTCTGTAATCCAGTCACCTCTTGCAGATACACCTTCCTGTCTCTGTACCATCAGTTGGTTTG